CTCCATCGAGATGTAGTCACCATCACCTGATGTTGTATTTATCTTACTATCCACCGTGAACTGGTGCGGCCCTGACCTAGAATGGTCAATGGACACTACTAGAGACCGTCGCCAGATTATTGTGAGAAACGCAATGCGTTTCTGCTAGTAATTCTTGAGTAGGGTGGACGCAAACAATTATTGTCAGGGGACCGTAATTTAATTTAGCCGAAAAATGTGCTGGTGCCTTTGAAGCCCAAGTCGAATTTGCCTACTGGATTACTGGACAGGTTTCCTGCGCTCAGCAATTCCGAATACAGCTAGTACTCCTCCACCAATCATCATCTCACGATTTCCTTTCGTATAAGTAAATGTCGCGTAGTTTGCTCAATAACAGTTCCTCAGGAGGTGAGATTGGAAACTTTGAGTTGCTGTATTCGCGCCACATTTCCTTGGTGCGAGGAGACTCGGCGTCTGCCCACGGCTTCCTATATGTACATACAATTAGATCAATAGGGGATCGTAGGAACATAACGAAGGAAAACTCAACTCGTGGTCATTGAACACCTCAAATCCAGTGCTTATTATCATAGTTGGTCGTGCAATGTCTGCAATGATCTGCTTCAAAGGTGCTTCGACGAAGACTGAGAACACTATTGTGGTGTCGTCAATCTCAGCGAATCCTCCAGCACCGTGTCGCCCAACAATGGAAAATCCGTTCTGTTTGAGAATATCTTCTGTCTCACGAGTGTAGTCTGGATCCTGAGCGAGTAGCTCAACACTACTCCTTGTATGTTCACGGCATACTTCCACTATGGTCACAGCAATCAAATGCTGGAGCATATTGGGCGATACGATACTCGCATCTAGCTCATCTTCATCAGAAGTTATTTGTCTTCTAAGCCATTCCGGAGGCTTGCGGCATACGTCGCCTAGACCGAAACAGGCTACTTTTGTCACTTGTCGGGTAGTGAGATGTTGTTGAAGGCATGACTTGAGCAACTTGCAGCTCTCGCTCCCGTTCCAAATATGTCGGTTTCTCTCGAAGATCGAAATTGGGTCTTTCACGATGCCTCGGAAAGCTCGAACTGTCGAATTACTCCACTCCGGAAGGTAAGAACAAAGATATGTTTCAGGTGGGCCATCAGGCTGCGTTTTGACGAGCCGCCAATACTCCTGGTACTTGACGAATGGTTTCCTAAAGGATTATTGGGGTCAGTGAAGTAATAGCGTCTCATTGTCCCCTTACCAGATCGGATTGTCTTTTTCAAAGTTGAGGTTCCTGATCTGTATCAACGTTCCGTTGATAGAGCGAACCGAGAAGACCATCTGATTAACAGATTGCTCGATTTGCCTCTCGATATCTCGTAGATCATCTTTCGTCCAAAGCTTATACCCTCTATCATAAAAAGTTGCCGCAATCTGGCTGCTTTCTCTCCATGGTGAGTGTCCATATTCGAGTAGGGTCGGAGTTTGGCCATGCCATGGGGCTAGCGGAATTGACTCATCATTTATTGGCATCATGGCGTGCAAGATATTTCGAAGGATGATGAAAGAATGATATTGACTGATCTTATTCAATATTCCTGCCACCTGGTGATGTAGGCAGGTAATTGATTATAAGGCCACAGGCGTCATGAGATGTATGGTTATAAGGCTAGGAAACTTGATACTGTGATTTTTGAGGTGCCACGTATATTTTTATTACCAATGCTGCCCGACTTGGCTTGTTAGGTTTAGCCCCTAGACCCGCCTCTGGGACCACTGTAATAGGTTAATATATGAGAATGCTCACACAAGTCGACCTTACATCTGTACCACGGGATTGGACTCGGTTGCTTGTCAATGCCATATTTGCATGTCAACGCAATTTTATAATTTTCAATTTCCCCTTAGCTTAAAAACGTGACATTTGCTGATACAATATTATGTTGCATAAATAAGGACTTAGAATGGCTTCCCTTGTTTGACCCGCGTCAAAGCCCCGATGCCCTCAACGTGCGGCACAAGATAAAGATAATTAAGAACTCAACTATCCACTGATCGAGATAACATAAGGTACGTGATAATCTAACTTAATCCGATCTTGTAACGACAATTGTCCAGAAACTACACATCAACCGTATCATCAAATCTGCGATTTGATTCTGTCGCCCTTACGCGGTCTTCTTCGAGCAGTTGCAGCATGAGTAGCATGCTCCACAGTCACCATGC